AACATAAGAAAACAGAGTATAGCAAAACCCCTGTTTTAGTATTTTTTCACACAGAAACTTAATAACTTAACTGCTCTATTCTGAACAATGTATTATTGTACAACATTTGAAGATGCTTGTGGAAACTTACTGATAATTTTCTTTACGTTCACGTATGGACTGATGTGATTTACATAAGGGTACAATGATTGCACGCAACCAAAATGATGAGCTATACTTATCCATGTAATTCAAAGGAATTCTGCAAGATAATCAGGGTCCTGTATTGTCAAACTTGTTTTCACTAAAGTAACAAATGTCGAACACTAACAAGTCCACTCACATGCAATCTAATACAGTTATTTAAGTAGTTTATATTAGTTATTGTAACTTGTTTGTTATAACAATTTTTCAAAATGGGGCCAAGATGTCGTACCCAAGAACACCTCTTGTCACTGTCTGTTTCTCTCTCTCTCTCTGTCTCTGTCTCTTGTACAGGAGTGTTCCCTTCAGGGTGAGGGTAAGGCTTGCCAGGAAGAGGAACGAGGATGAGGATTCCCCACACAAGCTCTACACCCTCGTCACACACGTAGCTGTCCCATCATTCAAGGGTATGTTATTAGTTGTATCTGGGCACCTACCCCCTGGACATCCACCCCCGAATAACTACCCCCTAGAATAGTTTTCCGGGGGTAGTTGTCCGTGGGTAGTCTTCCTAGAGGGTGGTTGCCCTAAGGGATCGTTGACTAGGGGTTGTGGTTATCCGGGGGTAGGTGTCCTAGAACTGTTTTTAGCACCTTGTAGAAAGGGCGGTACAAAGGCAACAGTTATAGAGATATGAAAGTAATAATTTTGGCATTATTGGCTGTTTTATTTCAAATGGTATAGGATTTTCCAATGCTGATCATTATGGGATATTTTATTATTAGAAGAAGCAGCAGTAGTGGTGGTGGTAGTAGTGGTAGTTCTAGTAGCTTCCCCAACAATTTGAGTCAGTGTGATCATCGAGCCTTTCTTCTTGACTTGGGGAAAGTATGCTCAGGAGCATTAAATCACATACATTTTGGTATTCTTTAAAAGAAGTTGACTGCTTCATACTTTCTTCATTGTAATTGGTGCAATGAATTACTTCAGAGTGTTGTGAAATGAAGAGTGTTATGTCATGCGCATCCAGCATTAAAGAATTGGTTTGATGTTCATATCGTCGCTGTTTTCACGAAGTGACGGTAGTGAAAAAAATTGCATTCACTTTGCGTGACAATTTTCCTCACTACCGTCACTTCGTGAAAACAGGGATGATATGTATGAAAGGTTTATTTATGCAAGATGAATCTTATACATTTGGGACTAGAGTATTTGCAATATCTGGGTGTAGCCAAGTATTACTCATGTAATGTATGGTTTTTGTTCGTTTTCAGTAGCAAGGGTTGAATATTCTATCCTCGTTTTGTAATTTCCTGCCATTTTTGGCACTTACAGAATAGTACCATTACAGGATAAGGCTCATAACATTCAACGTAAATCTAATTTTTTTTTCTTTCTTTCATCTCTTTCAGGTCTGCAGACTGTCAACGTGGACAACCAAGATTAAATAATTAAGATCAATGAATAAAGAAGTCATCCGCACGTGTACATGGTAGAAAACACTTTGTCATCTGTGTAGTGCTTTGGAGTCCTTGTGTTATTCAGTTCAATGACGATGATTTTAGATTGTAAAATGCATCCTTCAGTGTGATTGCTGATTGTGACCGTGATTTATGTTTGTGATTGCAAGTTGTACTACAGAAAGCAGTGACTAGTGACAGAAGAATGGTATGATCATGTACTCAGTGTAAAAAAATTACTGTTTATTTGTAGAAACTTAAGTGACAAGAAAATGGTATGATGTACTCAGTGTAAAAAAATACTGTTTGTTTGTAGAAACTTTTTTGGGTTTGGTGTTGTATAAGTGTGATTTACTCACTGATTTTCTACAGTCTCAAAGGATTATCTTCACTTATATGAGATTGACTCAATGGGTATGATCTTGTGAGTGTTGAAGCATGGTGTATGAGAGTTGACTGGAGATCTAGTCGTGACTAGTGGTAGTAAACAAAATCTTAAAAAACGATGTTTGACTTTTGTGCTAGTCAAAGATTTGCTTCAGTCTCGATGTTCTTCAGTTTATTAGATTGACTGAATAAGTATGATCCTGTTGAGTGTTGAGAAACCTGGTATATGAGAGTTGACTGGAAGGTCTAGTTGTGATTGAATTTCTGGATAAAAGTATGCAGTGAATGTAGGATAAAGAAGGAGGAAGTGACCTTGTAATGGAATAATATCTAATTAATTGTTGTGGAATTTTGGTATGTTTAGAACGATTTCAGTGAGAGCGTGTGAGAGAAGATTGAAAAATGAATAACAAAAATAAATCAAATGACAAACTATACAAAAGATAAATCAAACAGCAGTCCAACATCAGGAAGTAAAAAATGTCTTTCAAGACTTCACATGAAATCATCACCAAAACATGTGTTCATGATATAATATGACATCATAATTATTCATAAGTTATATGATTATATCAATTACTTTAAAAAAAAAATACAGAGATGGTGTAATTAAATATAATCTTAGCATGTACGTTGTACCATAAACACAGTTTTGATTCATTAGAATTACCATATATAAAGAAAAATACAATTGGTGCATAATTGATTAGCATATTCTAATTTAAAAAAAAAAAGAATTATGCAATATTAGATCTCATGGACATCTATCACCATGCCAAGTTTGGATTCATTCAGAGTTTTGATTATCGAACTATGGGGTGAAAGGTGTACTTATCAGAGGAGAAAATCAGCATTTAAAGGAAGGGGGAAGGGGCACTTCTTATTCAGCCGAGGACGCAGGTTCGAAACTAAGTCACGTCTTCCAGATGGTGACGCTAAAGGTCGGTCCCCAGACGTAAATAATCATATCTGATCGATACGTCTGTAAAAACCCCAATTACACACACACACACACACGCACACACACGCATTCTCACATTAGGGCCTTTGTGGGGCACCTGATTGTGGGGTATTTCTGTGCGTTCCAGATATACCTTGTGGTCCCCTACTAGTGGGGTATGTACAACCTGGCGATAACAACCCGGCGGTGTGCTTACGATGTTACCATAAAAAAGTGTGCAAGTTTTAGCACACGCTCACAAAAAGTCATTTATGGGGTACCACTTCTAATGCCCCGCAGGACATAGGACACCGAATATACAGTCATTTGAAAGACTTTACTCTGTGGGGTCCTGAAAAAATACCCCACAAAGTAAAAATGCCTCACAAGGGGTATGTGAAGCGCACATAAAACCCCACAAGAATGCTGAGGTGAGAGCACGCACACACACACACCCACACACACACACACACACTTCTTTTAAAGTAGAAGGGGCACTTTCCTACATAAAAGGGCACTATTGGAGTACTTGAAAAAGTGGGGGATGGGGAGGCGCCTTTGCTCCCGAACGATGACAAGAAATCGCTGCTCCTGCCGTATAGCTGTGTTATCCACATTGCTGTCTGGATAAATTCTCATCAGTCACATCATAATCACCACATTATAGGTCCCGGTAGTCCCGTTTTCAAAAATACGATTTTTATTTCGTTTGACGGAAGTGATGACGCCCACCCCCCACCCCCTCCTTCGACTCTCAAGCTTACCATAGTAGGTTCATGCTCTAACCCGGTAGGATGTTTACGGGGGCACATCCCCATCAAAGTGGATTTTTTTAAAAGTGAAGACGAAAGGGAGAAGGGAACTTGAGACGGAAGTAAGTCTAGCTCCCCCTCATCTTCTAGGCGGCCTTTTTTATTCGCATTTCATTCACCGAATAAGACCTGTGACCCCCTCCCCCTTAACAAAAATGATAATAATAATATATTAAATAAATTAAATTTAAAAAATAAAAACTTATTCGCGTGCCTCCTGAATGGCTTAACCCACTCTTCGCCCTAAACTGGCACAACCCACCCAAAAATGTAAAAAGGGTCGTCTCTGTCGCAAACTTACTGGTAGGTTTATAAACGCATATTCACCATATAGCTTCTATATAGGGCGACATTATAGGCAAGTGTTTAAGTGAACTCCCTCATCCTCCTGCCATCTACTTTAAGGACGGCGGAATTCTCTCCCAGACAAATTGCGAGGGAGAGGAAAGAAAGAGTAAGGGGATAGGGATGGTTAAATGACACAGACTTATGGATTTTTGTTCTTCTGCTGCTTGTCAAGAGGGGGGGGGGGGGGGGGGGGGTTCGTGTCCCACCTTCACCCCGTTCTCCTATACATGATAAAGGCGTGCAGCACTATCATATTTGCAGAAGGGGCATGCGGTTTGACTAATGACACACACACAAAAATATTAAAAAATACAGCTAGGCACTAGCAGTTAAACATATAGCAGGGGATTTATTATAATTAAGAAACGTAGGATATATAGATTTACGTCAAAATAAATCATTCGGACATTACCCCACCCCCCACCCCCTCCATACAGACCATTCCCATCAAAAGAGGTTTCCTTTACTACAAGTTTATGGATCGCAATAAGTTGAGATGTTTTGCCCCTCCTGAGGCCACAGTCTGGATATGCCACTGGTAAGCAGACAAGACTATTTTGTAATTACTCACTGATTAAAAAAAGGGAGCCTTATCAAACAATCGTTTGTTTATTTATTTAATAAATCATTAAATAATGAATTATCATTATATCTTAACAGAATGAACGGCAAACCAGTAAAACGATACGACACGGAACTTTGATCTTGTTGTAAAATCAATATCAGATTACACAACGCCGTCTCCTTGGCAACGGGGTCACGCTTTGATCTCAGTTTGCATGGTTCAGTGAAATAAAATATTTGTAATTGTTCCTGCTTTTACACTGATCTGATTGTAAGTGAGAAAGCCCCAAGGGGTATTATCAACGTAGCCTGAAATAAATATCATGGGCCTTGGCATAGTGGTTTTATTGGACGGAGAAACATTGCTGGAGGAATATTAAGACTCAAAATCGATCGCGTCCAACCCTTAAGGCAACTTTATTAACTCGTCGGAGCAAAAATCGATGAAAAAAACGTCCCATTCTTGTTGGAAGTCATTACGCAGACATAAATGGAGTGTTACGTTTTCGAATGAGATTGATTTTTTCCTCCCCATTTCTCTTTCATCTTTCGGATTTCTTTTGTTCCGTATTGAATGCTTGAAAAGTATTGTGTACACTACAGTGTTAGAGTGATTGGAATAAGTTATATCAATACGGATGTGCGTGCTAGCCAGGTATTATTACAGAGGGCAATTACACTGTGCATAGCAACCCCGGCTTGTAGCTCTTGTAGTTTTTTGATGGAGTGTATTCTGGATTAATACAAGGGATACATCGCTCGTTTCTTGTTCCAACGTCAAGTTTTTATCGAGTGCCGATACAGGATTTTAGAGACAATAATAGGTAAGCCCATTTAAAACAAAAAATTACTACAGTGTGAACTGTAACTATAAATATTATTCCATAACAATATTTACAGAACTTTCAATAACAGTCGCCACCCTTAATCGTCAATTTATATACACCTCAAGCGCCTATAAGAATAGTATTTAATAACTTGTCAAAATAGTAAAGTGAGATATTTGGGCATGGATTAAATCATTATTTAACATGTAAAGGGTTCGAGGCATAATATGAATTAGCTGCAAATTAGAACATGTAACACAAACATAAATAATCGGATTGGAAAGATATCTGTTAATTCTTCAAACGTCATGAGTAAAACTACATTTGATAATTTGTGGTCTATATTTTTTAGTTGCGTACCTGTATCTTCATATATTTTGATTTTTTTTTCAATGATAAAAACAATTATCCTAGACCGTAAAAAAAGGAATATAGACGTTTCTGTAAAGTAATAATTCATACCAGTATTCAAAGTAAGCGAAATGAAATCAAAGCCGAACTCTTGATTCTGTTTTCATTTTTCCTCGTAATTTTATACAATTATTGCGGGACACATTTACATCTTAAAGCGATTTATTCATTGTAATAGTTTGCCAAGGTCGAAATCAGGATCAAACTTGCCATTCGAAAATACTTAGGGACGTCTTCATGTGTACATAATTTTGACATAACAAAGAATCGCAACAAAAGAATACTCTTCTAGTCTTTTTTGACGGGGTTGACGTATACAAAGGCAAAGAAAAAATAATTTTGTTTTAGGAATTTAATTTACACCGTTTCCCATAAAATAGTGATAAATATTGCTGGCTCTTACGATGAAAATGATTGTGACGATTTCTTAATCTAGATAGATGATGTTTAAATATTGTTAGAACTTAATTTTGATCAATAAAGTAAAATAAGACAAAAAGTTTATCTATCAAGAATAAATCATGTTTTCACAATTTTTTAATGAAAGACGTTAAAGAAATTATTCCAAGTTTATGGGCAACTGAGTATTATGTACGTTTATTTGGATAACGAAGTCATGCACTAAAAATAGAAGAGTAATTAGCTATACAATTACATGGAACTTAAACTGCAATAAAAACCCAGGGGGGGGGGGGCTTGGGAGTTCTTGCATTCATTTTCTACATGTGCCTAACTTATATTCATTTATAATCAAGAAAAATGGGGGAGGGGGTAATTTTTGGGAGGAAGCTTCAACTCCCAGGTCACCCTTTATAATTGCTACTGCAAATACCATTGAGTGTTAGTATACTACTATTTTTGTACTCAGACTTTACACATTATCTTCTCACAGCATTGCTTTTTAAGTAAAAATGGCGATTTCAGGCTGAAAATTCCGATTCCCCCAAACCACAACGATGAATTCTCTCACAGTGCGTTCACCAGTGCCCTTCCAGCTGCCCCAAATCGATGAACGCCCCCGTACAAGGACTTCAAGAAGTAAAGGAGGGCGGCGGCTACCCATCCCAGAGGTCGAATCGGGGGCGTATCGGGCCCATTTTAAGAGATGGTGGGATGATGAGGGGCGTAAGAAATTACATGAGAGTAAGTGATGTACTGCTTGTTAAAAAAGTACTGTTACATAGTTACATCTTTTTGATAGATTTGACAAATTTACCTTACCTACAATTCCATTTTCGTACCTGAAAAGTGAAATGGCATAAACAGGATTACTTTTAAAAATGATTGCATGATTAGGCGTCTCATGGTTTACTGTTGAAGATGATAAAAGTTCATAATACATCATAGTGGCACGAATAGCAAAAATTCGTTTATAATGATGACTTACAAGAATCTTACATGGTATCCCAAGTGGTGATACAGACCCTCATTAATATTAATACTTAATGATGAAATAACTTCAATATTTCTGGACTTTCATTATAAAGGTATTACATCTCTTTTGGCTTTCAATCGCTATCAAACTCATTGAAATAAGAAGACTGGCAGTCAGTAGGTAGATACTGTCTTCTAACTGCAATCTACGAGCCAAACTTTAACAGTTTCTCCCTTGTGTTTCTTTCTTTCCCTTTTTCTTCGTTGTTGCTGTTGTTGTTGCTTTTTCTACACCAGAGGAAGATCCGATGGTTGCCATTGGTAATCGAATCACGGAGGTACATGATATGGTGACACCTAGAAACACAAAGGAGATCACTATGAACCGATTGCAGACTCCACTTAAAAATAAAGTCAGGGTAAGATTATAATAATAATAACAATAATAATAATAATAATAATAATAATAATAATAATAATAATAATAATAATAATAATAATAATAATAATATAATAATAATAATAATAATAATAATAATAATAATAATAATAATAATAATAATAATAATAATAATAATAATAATAATAATAATAATAATAATAATAATAATAATAATAATAATAATAATAATAATAATAATAATCTTTTAAAGTCCACTCCAAATTTTATTAAGTTAAACCTAAAATGGAAATTCTTTTTGCCCAATTAATCGTGAGCCCGGCAGCCTCTGAGCAGCGCCAGATCGACGTTGCTCTATCCCTTATTGTTGAACGCCAAACAAGGTAGCAGCAACTCCCGTATTTTAACGTCTTTTGGTATGACGCGGCCGGATTCGAATCCACGACCTCCCGGTTGACTGAGCCAACACACCGGTTACAAAACAAAAGTATGTGTCAGAAGTGGGATTCGAACCCACGCCTCCATACAGAGACCAGAACACCCATAGAACATCTCTGTTAAGAGATAAGGAATCAACCTTGAGTCTGGCGCCTTAGACCGCTCGGCCATCCTGACAACTCATGACGACTCATGACGACTCGAAGCATGGACCTACAATAACTCCATGCTCGAAGTGAGGAGATAGATTAACATAATTCATGTACATGTAGTTACGGGAGAATAAAGTTTACGTCCAGATTTTGGGATTTGCCCCCAAAATATACATTTAAGATCATTTATTTTCCTGGAGTGTTTATCCCGTTCTGTTATAATGCCTTTTCAAAGAAAGTAAGAGGGATGAGAGAGAGAGAGAGAGAGAGAGAGAGAGAGAGAGGGGGGGGGGGGTGGGGGAGGGGTGGAGGATAGGTTAATGATTATGTTTATTTTGCAAACGAGTATTATTTTTGTAACTGTATAAATGTTATAAACGATGTAAATATGTTCATTCAGGGCCCCTTGGAAGACCACTACTTGTTGGTGAATGGGCTACCCTGTCAAAAGATTAGAAATAAATAAATAAATAAATAAAAGAATAAAGTTCTATTTTTTGATCTACACTGTATACTAGCCGTTATATAATTCGTCGCTGTTTTCACGAAGTGACGGTAGTGAAAAAAAATTGCATTCACTTTGCGTTACGATTTTCCTCACTACCGTCACTTCGTGAAAACAAAGACGAATTTATATACATTTTCAGATTCCGTAACAAATATACATTATGTCAAGTTAACTAAACATTTATTTATCTTTATCTACCTTCTTTTAGGAATTATCTATCATGACACCGGGTACATTTCGGCGGAACAGAAGACCAGCTGTAGAGAAAAAGGTAAGCAAATATTCATTCGTAGAGATATTGGAGTGTGTTGTTGCCAAACCGACTAATTATACATTATAATATACTGTATTATTTTCAATCATTTTAGTGTCACTTATGCTATCATTAGACAGAGCCATAAAACTACGATTAAAAAAAATATTTTTGAGATAGATGTATCATTAATTCATGTATTGCTTGACCAATCGAATTTATTATTGAATAATTAGTTTGTGTTTGCTTCACCTTTACAGTTTGACGCCGCTCACTGTTTCTTCAATGCAATAAAATCAGTACTGATTGTCGTCACCATCTATAGACGGAGAAGAAGGTAAATAATGATTCTTAAACCTGTTAAATCAAACGATAGTTAATATTTTACTCTCCTTTTTCTATTGTAATTAAAGTAAAGGCTTTATAAGCAAGAATTTGTATTGCTTTATGGTATTTATCTTTTTAAGCACATCGAGAGACAAGAGATAATATTGATTATTGTCATTTTATTATTTCAAAAGTATGATACCAAGAAAAGAAACTGCCACCAATGTTGATGGAAATATGAACTCTGGTTCATTTCAATCTGTCTAACAATTTTTAGCGTTTCTTAATCATCGATTTATCGATGGATTGTTTGGTAACCTATGTGTGCTTTATGTACGATGCTTCTATACCTTACCATGATATTGAAATATATCTATTTATTCAAGTGTATATCATGATCATTATCTTCCTCCTCATCTTTTCTCCATCGCTTTGGGGATAGACGTTTTATTATTTTCCGTAATGGCCTTTCTCCAAATATTTCCTGAATCAAACGACTATATCAAACATTTCAGATCAAAACATAATTTTACAAAGCCATATTAAAATTAGTACAAAATCACCAAAACAATGAAACATAACTCGAAATTAACTCGTCATTCTCTCACGGCAATACTTCTCTGATCGCTTTCCATTAGGTACGTGCAAAGAGGTTCAATCAGGGATTCCCTCGACTCTGAGATACAATGTAAAGATTACAACCAAGTCTGGTTCTCTACGCAGGATAAGGAGAATGCAGATACAACACCGCAAAAGACAGTGGTAAGCTATCCCTCTGGTGCCATGACGTAATTGACGGTTGTTACTTGCGGATGATGTTGATAACGATTGTGTTGTTATTGGTGGTGGTGGTGGTGATGCATGACGACGACGATGATGATGATGACGATGATAATGATGATGACGATAGTGCTATTTGACGGTTGTTACTTGTGGATAATGTTGATAACGATGTTGTTGCTGTTGCTGTTGTTGATGTTTTTGTTAATGGTGGTAGTGGTGGTGAGGTGATGCATGACGACGATGATGTTGATGATGATTATGATAATGATGATGACGATGCCAGTGACAATGCTGCTATTAATTGATGGCTGTCACTTTTGGATAATGTTGATAATGATTTTGTTGTTGGTGGTGATGATAGTGATAATGACGATGGTGTTGATGTTGATTATGATGATTATGAGGATGACGATGATGATGGCGGTGGTGGTGGTAGTATTCATGTTAATAATATATAATGATGGTAATGATGATACATTCAAACACAATTTTTTTTCACAGATCGGAAACGATTACCAGTGCGATTTAAGAATGCAACCAAAACACAGGACTCAGGAACAACTTGAAAGGGTAAGCTGGTGGCATAAAACATGAAAACATGTTTATTAAATTGCCTTATAGAACATGACAAAACAACAACAAATCTACAAACAATGTGTAATTATGTAGGGGTCTCCATCAGGCAAAGAGATCTACAGAATGCAAAATGAGTTGCAAAATTAATGTTGCAGAAGACAAACTTAAGGTGTAATGTCTTCTTGCACCTTGTATCTTGTGTATATAAGAGATGTAAAGACATATCATTCTATTGATAACAGAGAGACAGATGGAGAGTGATGGGGAGAGAGGGAGGGGTAGGGCTCCAACGACTGAATGATCCCCTCCCAGGCCGAGGATGATATTGGCTTGAACACAAAATAAGAAAAGATTATTTATTTTAAAATCACACATACACTATCAAAATACCTGTATTGTTATTTAAAATTTTAATTGTTATTGTTATTTTGCTTCCTAATTTTCAGATCGCTTTGAAGATCCGAACCATCAAAAAATTCCAAATGTTTCCAACTAAAATTGAAGAGGAGCTATGTCGGAGAATATCATACGGATGTTACGATGATGGTCGAGTTATAGCTTATCAGGGCAGTACGTCACGTCGCTTCTATTACATCATCTCAGGACAAAGTAAGATGCAATAATTTAGCCAGAATGTTGTGCATATATTCTTCTTGTATTTCACTATTTTATGTTATTTCATTTATTCAAAGTCACATGGGTTGGAAGACCTTCGAGTTTTAGTTTTTTGTTCAAATTTTTTTCCGGCATCCATGCGCTACTGTTTTGTATTCAATATTTTCTTGATTATTGTCTATATTGGATATATAATCATATTAACTATAATGATAAGATGATGGTTTCATAAACTATTAATTTGTCTTTGATATATGTTAAGTTTTTTCGCAATCCAACATAACGTATAGAAAGTCCTTTGATTTTACTTTATGTCACTATGATTATCCACACGAGCTATTTCAATTCAAGTAAAAAAAATTTTTAGAAAATACTTATTTTCTTCCAATCATTTGTCATATTTTCCAAAACATTCAATCGATATGCAACTGGTATTCAAAGTTGGCTATAACTAAGAAAGGGCGGTGCTAAAATACATGGAAGAAGGTTTATTAGATACCGCGAAATAAGGAACTTTTGTTTGGAACATCTAACAGATTTACGTACATAAAAACAAGCCGTATAGTTAGGTTTTGTGGTGATCGATGGCACCCATGGCGTTTTTTTTAGGATAGTTTTATTTTCCTTTAGGACTAATATTTCACAGAGGTGTCGTAGAGTTGTCGTAGTCGAGTGGTTTTAACACTCAACCGGAGGTGCGAAGGGTGTGGGTTCGATCCCTGGCGAGGCACTAGTGTCTCTTGACTAGACATTAATCTGCACTTGCCACTCTTCACCCAGGTCTTAAATGGGTACCGGTAGCAGGGAATTTATTGAATGTTGTGATCAGCACTGAACTAAGAATAGCCTACCTAGCAGGGGCGGCGATTTCTTTTCATGACCGGGGGGGGGGGACGAAATGCAAGGGACGGGGGAGCAGTGGCGTATATTGAACAAAAACGTGGGGGGGGATCCGATCCCCACTCTAACATTGTACATGCAGGCCTCGCGGAACATTTTTCATAGAGGGGAGGCTAAAGTATTTTATAAGGTAGAGCAAAGCGAGCATAGCAAGTGGAGCGGAAATTGGCGTGTGGTCCAGGGGCGTAGGCCCATGAAGCTCAGGGGTTTTAGGCATTTAATAACGGTCAGATGAGCATCCAGGGGCTCGTCTTAGAGCCCCTGGTGTGGTCCAGGGGGCAGACCCCCGGAAGCTCAGGGTTTTACGCATTCAATCACGGTCAGATGAGCAAACAGGGGCCAGGCATAGGGCCCTTGATGGGGTCTAGGGGGCAGAGCCCCAAGAAGCTCAGGGAAAAACCATGCCATTTCAGCAACATTTGTAAATAACTGGTATCGAGTTAGAAATAAATCAAGTTTGAATTTTATTGGGGGGAAACTGCGCCCAAGCCCCCCCCCCCCTCATCATTACGGCAAGGCGAGGGAGCAAAGTGAACGAGAGGGGTAGAGGTTACGGAAGTGACTATCCCCTCACAGTTTTTGAAGTTTTGTTGTATTAACAAATTACATACTTTAATTAGCAAAAGAATAGTATAAAAACAAGCAATATACCTTTTTCACACTTTACTTTTCTAGAATATTTACTGTACACTTCGAAGAATATTATGCGAGGGAGCGTAGCTCCGGAGCAAGAAGATTTTTGCATTTTTATTTGTCTAAACGCTGCACTCTAGGGCCCTCCAGAGCCTAAAAGTTTGTTGCAGTCTTTATTCAGTATTTGCTATACACTTTTTTCCTCACTTTTTCAATTTTTCAGGGGGGGACGACCCCCCCCCCCTAAAAAAAATTGAGGGGGGACGTGTCCCTCCCCCCCCCCCGTCCCCCGGGATCGCCACCCCTGCTACCTAGAGACGGGGGTGATATTGGAGTGCCTTACTTATATTGTGCGCTAAAAAAGATCAAATAATTTTTATTTTATGCAAAGACATTATCATGAACATTTAAAAATGTACGTTAATTGATTTATATGTTTATAAACAGGATGTTCATGTACATCAATGAAGTTTAATAAATACAATACAAATACATGTGATTTCGGTACTTTATTTTTCTCCTGACCAGTCGGCTTACTACATACATACAAGCTACAGAGTGGGGAGGTAACGAAACCCGTGGGAGTACACAAGAGCGGATACAGCACACCGGTAATGCAATTAGTTACGATTTCAAACTATATTACATAAATTTCTTGTGTTTTCAAATTCATTCATTTCTATATGATTCATTTGACATAAATGAGTCGCATTTTTCCGATTTTTGTCACAATTGAAACGCTGGAAGTTTATATTGTAATATAATTAAGGGGGACAATTTTGACATATCTCGATTTTAATAATATTAGTTTTAAAATCAACAGAGAGACCTAAACATTAATTTGGAAGGTCCTTTGTCTCAAGAAAAAGGTATCATTCTTCTCTACTAAAATGCTGTCAGAATTATATAAAAAGAACAACATTTGATGAAGCAAGAAGCGATATTTAAATCCAGCTTCGTATAGGGCTTGTGTAGAGTGAAAATTAATTAAGAGAATGGTGTTTCTATATTGTGGGGTGTGAACACATCATGTAAATAAACTTCCTGAAGGTAAACAGGTTGATTAATGGACGGGGAGGGAAAGCTATTCCAGACAATGACACCCAGACAAAAAGCCATAAAAAATAGGGCAGCACAGGGGCGTCTCTATGGGGAAGATGGGGCGTTTGACTTCACCCTCTTTCAAAAAAAATTGAGGGGAAATTCTCAGAGCTGAGTTTTGGTCCATATTCTGCTAATTCAGTAAGTCCAATCCTGGGTTAAAGGTCACGTTAAATAAAGGAAAACTTCTTAGTGCTCAAACTAACTTCCCTGGTTAACTCGAATTTTGAAAAGCAGAATTCAAGCGTCGGGTTTATGCCTTTCACTTATTTTAGCTCTTGACTTTTTTCTTGTTGGGTTATTTTCGGTTGCAGAGGAATTTTGTCCCCCATCCTTTTACTCAAAATGGTATAGCTGCGCTCCTGATACTGGCAAAACGTTAGCGATGAAAAGAGAAAGAATAAAGGGTTTGGGGAAAGAACGACAATCATATATTTTTTCAACACTATCTGTCTCATTTTCTCACCCAGATCACCCGACAGTTGCTCTGGGCTTTATGTCTTCAAATGCATAGGGTTAGATTTATGGTTGTAATTGGGTTTTAGATTAGGTTCGGGGCTAGTGGTTACGGTTAGGGTTTTTATGTTTTGGTTTATAGGGCAATGGTTATGGTTATATGCATAGTGTTGGATCCAGGGTAGAAGCTAAGAATTTGGTTAGTGTAGGATATTGTCGTATAACCTCCCGGTCGTATAGTAATGATCGATGCTTTTTATCATGTTCTTCTTCTGTAGCGTGAAGAGCTAGAGAGACGCCTCCCACTCACCTCTAACATGGTATGCAAGGGAAACGTCGAAGTCTTGATTCTTGAAATTGAGGTAAATCTTTTTCATTTTAGGAATCAATCGAGTAATTAGCTGAATACCATTGCATTGATCATTAATTTAGCCCGAGAGGTTCTTCTTTCTTTTTTTGCGGGGTTGGGGAGGGGAATGAAGACTGAGATAGAGAGAAAGCGAGAGCAAGAGAGAGAGAGAGAGAGAGAGAGAGAGAGGGAGAGAAAAGGGAGTGTGTGTGTGTGGTATATGTATGTAGAGAGAGGGGGTAGAGACAAGGGGAGAGAAATGGGGTAGAGCGAAGGAGAGAGAGAGAGAGAGAGACGGAGGGAGAGAGACAGGGAACGTGAGAGAGAGGGGGAGAAGAAGAAGAGATAGAGAAAGAGAAAGAGAGAGAGAGAGAGAGAGAGAGAGGGAGGGAATGGGAGATCAAGTTTTATTTACCTAAAGAATAACAATTTCAGCATTGTGAAAGAGAAAAACAAAACGTAACGGGCATCTCTTGTCGTCAGAGAGTTGAATATTATGGTAATACCAAATTTGTAAAATACTAACAGTCGATTGTCATCACAACTAAGAAACTTATGTTGATTTTTTTTTCTTATATATTGCAGGACTTTCTGTATCTGATTGATCCCCCTGACGACCCTCCAATTGACTTTTTGAGGTAAGGATTCTACGTCCCACTTCATGAACAAAAAAAAAACAACACAAGTCCCAATAAACCTAAAAGTCACAGAAGACAAACAAATATTGTAACCACTTGCAAACAACATTTCATAGCGCCCTAACCTTTAGCTTAATGTAGGAATCTACAACTTGTAGAGTTCATAAACTTCATCGTCACACCGATAGCCAATTTATTTGCTGGCATTTGGAGTGAAGTAACCTATATAGTGAATAAAAATGTCATGCTTTAATTACTTAAATAGTGTACCCATTTCCGATTCGCCCACTTCTGCACGGGGGCGTCGTTGGAGGTGTTGGATGATGCGTGGTGTACGTGTGTGTGGGGGCGGCACCCTGGCCCATTAAAAATAAAGTTGTTGTCGGCAGATTTCGAAATTTCGTAGAGCTTTCTGAATATCGCATCTAATTTAGTGTAGTAACATAACCGAAGAGAACGAGTGGCGTATATTTACCATAGGGGACCGAACATGTTTTCTTACTTTCGGCCTTGTGAACAATGTCTCTTTATACAAAAATATTATTTTTTGATTAAAACAAACTCACAATAATGTAATCATTTGTGTTTTTCAGAGAACAGTCGATGTTCCGAGACTTTCCAGTTGATGAGTTTCGCCAGTATCCAGACTCCATTCGATCGAAGTACTACCCGTAAGTTCTCTGTCCATCCTGGTTAAAGCTTGTATTAAAAATACTGAGTCACCTAATAAATGTCATTATTGACCAATCGCAAGAATATTCAGATTAGTTTGGTTTGTTTTGATTTATTGGTTACCTGATTGCAAAGAAAACATATATAATCTTGTAGGTAAGCAACCAAGGAACCGATGGCTTTAGCACTCCTCTCCAAGGTACTTGATAATGAGGATTTAATGCATTACCAAAGGGCACTAGCGTATCGACTTGGTTTCGAACGCGGGTCCTTCCGATTACAAGACCAGTAATCTACCGTTGAGCCATCGCGCCACCAAGGCGGAATATACCAAGTAAAGTGTACTTAAACAATTACGTATAAATCTGGTGGTATATCAACTTTTTTTTGTAATTCTCATATATTTTCTCATGCAGTAAATTGTTTCATAGTAAAGAGTCGATAGCATCAGGGGGTGTTCTCAAAGACTAAGGTTGACTTTAAGTTTGACTTAACTATGCAGGCCGTTTATGCCACTGTTTACTCTCACCATTATGATCTTTAGATATTGTATTTTCCTTCAATAATGAATTATCCAAAAATGTAAATTTTGTAGATTTGTGACCATGATTAAATTTTGTACATCCTTTGAGAGACCAATGTTAGTTAATTGTGAGAGCAAACAGTGGCATAAACAGCTTGCCATAGTTAAGTCCAACTTGAAGTCGATCTTAGTCTTTGTGAAACACCCCTGGTCCATTGCACAATAGACAAGTTATATTAACTGTGAAGCAAGATGGCTGATATTTGACCTTGTTTTATTGTTGACTTTCTAGACCAAACAAAGTGATTTGTGAGGATGCTAATCATACCAAGTGGTTGTATCTCGTCATGTCGGTAAGCTTCAAATAAATCTGTCTTTCTCTTTCTCTCTCTGTTCGACCTTTTATGATCTTATATCTCCCACTTTGCTCTTTCTCCGCTTTCAAATGTTCCATTTCCTCCTTTCGATATATTATCTCCCTTCTATCTTCATGGTCTTAAGAAATAAAATCATACACGAGACGTTAAGCATTTCATTTTTTTCATCTCAGAATGAGGCCAATGAAATTATCTTGAAAGGCAATGAGTCCCTGAAAAGAAAGTTATCAAAAGTATCTTGACTCTCTCAACAGAAATCTAAGACGGACCCCAATAACAATTATCGAATTCCCCTCAAATTTAATTCTAAAAATGAAAGTAATGGTGATTCGAACCCACAATCTTAGCAAATGTAAATTCGCTTTTCGAATTAAAAATTCAACCAATGTGATGAGAGGATATCGTGAATATCTTATTAGATGATTTGAGGAATAGTAATTACGATGGTTAGGATGAAATATGATGATGATGATAATAGCAATAATAATAGGCCTAGTAGTAATAGTAGTAATAATGATAATAATACGCATAATTACAATAATAATACTAATATAATTGATAATAAATGCATAAATAAATACATAAATGAATACATAATAATGACCGTAATAACGATAATAATAATAGTACTAATACAATATTAAAAACATTATTTTTTTATAATTTCATGATAACTTCTTTTTAGGGTGAATGTTGCTATCTACGCAAGCAGAACATACCCAAGACCGCAAACCTCAGCACCCGACCTCTGGTAGGAGGGGGTCCTCTAGGGGAGGACATACGCCAAAGGAGACCCTCTCATGCGAACGGTAATTTGATATGAGAAATGCAGCAACTGGGTATGAGTTTGATCAACAAGAAATACAAAAATAGAAAGACAATGTGGTCTGACTAGGGAGTTATGAGTGATAAGAGGGGAAAGAGAGAGAGAGAGAAAGAGAGAGAGAGAGATAGAGAGACTACTGAGAGAGAGAGAGAGAGAAAGAGAGAGAGAGAGAGAGAGACTACTGAGAAAGAGAGAGAGAGAAAGAGAGAGAGAGAGAGAGAGAGAGACTACTGAGAAAGAGAGAGAGAGAAAGAGAGAGAGAGAGAGAGAGACTACTGAGAGAGAGAAAAGGAGAGAGAGAGAGAGAGAGAGAGAGAGAGAGGGGGGGGGGGTAAGAAATAAAGAGAGGATGTAAGAGAACAACACAAAAACAAGAAAAAGAAGAGAAAGACAACTGCAAGAAGTTTATGTAAGCTGACATAGTAAATGATGGAGATAGATAGAGAGAGAAACAGAGAGAGAGAGAGATGTGGAGATGTTTCCAATTTTTTGTAATTATTTAACGGCATATTATCATCTTTTCATTGTTCATCTTTGAAACCTGAATATTTTGTTTTTGACCGCTTAATAAATGTTATTAAAAAAATATGTTTAATTCTTTTTATATCCTGCCACACTCTCGCTCACATCTTCCTGCCCACTCTTCATAACGACATTATGTCAATGGAACAGTGATATATGATAACAAGAAGAATTCTTACAAGTTTCATGTTTTACATTCCAGCGGTCAATTGATAAAGTTCACGAACTTTTGTTAGAGTGTATTCGTTAGAGTGTTGGCCAACATTTACTCATATTTTATATCCTTAATATTTCAGAAATGATTGAGATGAGCTTAGCAAGATACGTTGCAAAGCAGCGAACAACTCTCCCTTATTTGCCCGAGGTAAGTGTTTCTTTGATAGTTTAGTGAAATTTATTTCATTCTCTCACCTTTATTTTCATACTGCCTGAAACCATTAAAGTTTTGCTCCATATACGAAGATTTATTCATGATATCTACGGTCATATTATTGTACAAGGCCACAAATCTGTCTTGTCAGATATCTTTTCGCTTCGGGAATGAGATGGCCTTTTTTAAAGTTTAAATTGCAAAGTTTAAATTCTAGGACTATACTTTTTGGATTAATTATATCAAACTTCTGTTACAATACTTCGCATGTCATTGGATTATTACAATTGTGACTTTTTTTTATTACTACAGATTTATTTCGATCATTCGATTAACGCTTTTCAAAAAGATTTCGGTTTCTCTGATTAAAACTGATCATTTTTATTATCATGCATCATTTTCCTAGTTTCCATTGTCATAAATCAACGTGATTCCGTCGGTGTATACATGACAAAACCCTGATAATTGTAATATATATTTGTTAATTATATCGCACTTCCCAATGTTATGAAAATCTGCCAGTAGAGATTTTGAACATATATTTAGAATATGCACTTTCCCGTAATAAAAAAAGTAACAACTCGGTTGACGGAGGTAATGAAACAAGCCGATTCAGAAAAAGAAAAAACGAATTTCCAATTTTCATAATTTCCAAAGAAAAAAATATCTTATTTATCAGCGCACTTCCCCCCTAATTAAAGCAGCATCTCGGTTGAGGAAGGATGTTTCTTAAGTACCGGTAAGCTGATTCGGAAAAAATATCACGTTTTCTTCATTAAAAATAGAAGAAAAATTCTTATCATATTATCGCAATGTTGCTCTGCGTTCAGGTGTTCATTAAAACAAGGATTCTTCTAAACATCTTAATGAGCACGAAGTCGTATCACTGACGTAGATAATTACGAACCAAGATACTGTGTGACGCAGCAACGTTTCCGCAATATCCGTACGGTGTTCCATAACGGAAGGGAAATGATGCAACTGAAAGCAAGCCAATACATCATACATACATCATGTTGAGAATATCACCTGTATTATCTTGATTTCTTTAATAAAAAATAATAAAAACATTAAAAAAACAATAAATGAAGATAACATGTGGTTTTTAAGCTTCTACTAACCTGAAATTTGTTATGCATAAAATGAAGATGTTCAGTAGAGAGTTCGAAATCTGCAATTAGTTTGCATAGGGCTACTAAACCAGATATGAAGTATTGCAGTTCTGCAACAAAGATATTTTACGTAACAAAATGAAAACGCCCCTGCATATAAATATAATAGTTAAATCTTTGCCAAATCAGTCTGAAGAAGGAAGTTGGACTTCCGGAAATGCATGTTATTTATCAATAAACAGTTGAAAGTTATAAAAAATGGAACTCGCAAGAATTCTTATTTTTATATCTCTAGATGTACACACATGAATATGGTTATCTTTTATTCCTAGATCCGAACTTCTATTGCCGAGGACGCGGGGCCCACGACCAACAACCCACACGGTCAGTCCATCGGACTTCCGCCCATCTCAAGGGAAGATACGAGATCCATATCTCCGGTGAGTTTCTAATGTTTAGTCCCGAAGATAGAAGTTTTATGTTTTATATAAAAAGGGATGATGGTTACATCACCCAAAGAAAACGTCCAAGTCCTCAACTTAAGGCAATTACAATACTTTATTTTACATTGACGTTTCAACAAGGGGCACAGTCAGTGCCGGCCCTTCAATCACAAGGTGAACAAATTAAATAATGTGCCCTTCAATACCCGGACCAATGTTTTAACACTGCTCTTTCTTTGCTCAAAGAAATTATGTTCTTGTTACGAAATACATGCGTTGTTTTGGTTATGTAATATGTAATTGTATTGTTCTCACAGTCGTCACGTCGAGCCAGCACGGTGTCCTACAATCACGACCTTCCCGCCCTCGCCCGCCACAACGATATCGTAGAAGACCCGCTACTATCTTCCGAGAACCGGTCGAGGTCCAAACAGCGCCGAAACAGCATGTTCCTTACGGAACGTAGCCGTACGGATGCCTCTATTTCACGGGCGCAGACACGACAGCGTACCCAAACGTTCCCTTTAGGCGGGAGAGGAGCCCGGGGAAGGAGACAGAAACGTGTGTTCCTTCGGCTCGGGAAACTGCAACAGGGTGACATATTTGTAAGTTATAAATGAATTGTAGTCTTCTATAATCGCATTTTCTCTTGTGCAGTTTTATGAACTAAGAAAAAAAATATCTTCGGAGCTTCGGTTACTGGTAAAAGTCATGTTTTTAATTTTCTTGCAAGAACTTACTTATCATAAAAGATCTAGTAAAAGTCAACATTTTGTGTAGGAAATGTGGTAAATGGACTCCAATAGTCTTGTAATGCTATTAGTCGTTTGTAATTTCCGTAATGTAATGAAAGTCTTATGTCACAAATTGTGTACAGTCAATACACAATCACAAAATAACACAACTTTTTTATTTATAATTTTTCCCTCTGATGTCACCAATAATTCTTGTCTTAACCGTGATCACATTTTACAGGGGTTGAATGAAGTTGCGGAAACTCTGCAAGTGGAATCGTCTGGCGTGAGTGTGGTAAGTGTTAGGATGTCCATTATATACAGGCCTCTTAAAACTCTCAAACAAGAATTATCATGTTATTATGATACTCTAAACAATTTGTGTGAAGAAAATTCGGAGCGAAAATGTTTACTGGGTAAAATAATAATCCATGATGTAAAAAAAGAATGCTGGAGAATTTTAGTGTACTGTGTACATGATGTACGCTTAGTAAATTCAAAGTGTTTTTCTCCTTCCCTGATCATTTCTTGAGATGATTCTTTTAAAAATCGGTTTACATTCTCTTAAATGCAAGTATTATAAACTGATGAATTAGACAACTTCATTCAACCATTTTAATTTATCGTCTGTTAGATAAGATTTACAATCTTGGGAACATCAAATCACTGCCCTGGTGATTAATTGATGTACTTACTTTTTTTGCAGTTGAGTAGATGTGAGCTCCTCTGTTTATAGGACTGTCCTTATCTCAAAGACGGGAGAAAGAAGTGAAATTTTGCAGTGCATTATAATATTCGGGGGGGGGGGGGGTACTTTTTTTAAACAAGGCCACTATGAGATTTTCCTTTGTTCTCCTATTTCATTTGAAGTTATTGTATAAACTGAACATTCTTTGTATGTATAGATACTTGTATGTTTATTTGCATTTGCTGTGTTTTTTATGAAAATAAAATGAATAAACGAACGAACGAACGAATGACCTTTGTTGATGAAAATTTAATGGGCTGGGTACATTTGAACTATTGGGAAATGATTGGAAATCGTTCATGGACGAATTTTGTTTCGTTAATATTGCGCAATTGCGAGCCAGCCCAATTATTTACAGATAAATTCCGATAGCTGGTCATTCCAGCAGTCTCTGTGTAGGAGAGTCCCCAAAAATGTCAGTCAAATTGGTTTTCTGCTGCTTAATTGATGTATATAAAATGTGAAAATATCATCTGGAGCTACAAAATGCAAATAATTATTTCCTTATGTTTTTGCAGGTTAGTGGAGGGTCCGAGGTAATTGCCATTAGCAAACGCTTTTTCCGCCAGCATGCCGGTGTCATGACTCTCCTCAAACTTGAAAGCATGGTAAGTGGCACCGTAAAATAAATTGCACTTGGTCTTATGATGAAGTGCTTTACTGTTTATGATGGGATGCAATGCATGGCTGTTACGGGGTTTCAAAATTACCCCCTTATTTCGCAGAAAACAAGAAATTTTTCTAAACTTATGCGCCTGTTAACATGAAAACTAAGGAATGTGTCGATTATAAAACATTTGCGGGGCATTTTCAAGGATTTTTCAGTAATAAGGAAAATTTCTTTATGCGTGTTTCAACTCGCAAACAAGATGCTCAAGGATGATCTACTTCCAGGAAGAAGAAAAACAATTCTGGTAGTGCAGAATTTTGGTCTCCCCAAATGACCACTAATTATTTCATGTCACATATACGGATACGGATCATGTCACATCATCCTAGATTTTGGTCGTTCTTACCGCGAAATTAATCGCTAAGCAGAGCTCTGGCGCTAAGGGCGGAAAAGCGCCCCTTTCTAAAAAAATCGAGAGAAAAACACTGCCTACCTAATGTGAAGGGGAGGTGAGCTTACCGGGAATGAAATATATGAGCCATCGTTTTCTGATGGAGTGCCCGTCTCTTTATATGGCTGTCTCGATGGCGAGTACGAGCCCATAATTCCTTTAAAATCTGTCAGGTGCGACAGGAAAGGGGGGAAATAAGGAAAGAAGGTTTATAAACTTTGCATCAACTGCCTTGCTTCGTTTTTCATTTGAAGTTAAATTTGAAGCAGCTGAATTTGAAAACTAGCTTTTGGTGATTAAGGCTGATTACAGCCTTATGCTCATTTTTATTTAACCTCTACCCTTATTTTCCCCTTCCCTATATTTCCCCCTTTACCTTCTTGCTCTTATTTTTCCCGCTTCTTTCACTCCAATTAATAACGATTGTTCATCGCAACTTTGTTTTCTCCGTTCGTGATAGGAATATCTCTCGAAATATTTTGCATTCAGTTTTATTGGTCCAGGTGGGATTACAAATTGTGTGCAAAAACTGTGTCTTACTTAATTGCCGGGGTGCAAATATTTTATCTGAGAAGTTTGATTGGATACTGTCATTCCCTAATTTAAATTAAAATTTCCTTACGTCACTCATGTCAAAAATAAATGTGTATCATTATTTTTATCTTTAAAAAAAATACAGCTGCAGGAATTTGTTTCGGAAGAAGGTGCAAAAGATATTTTGCGTGAGGAGAAAACGTGGAAGCGATACAAGGAGGCGCTCGTCAGCAAAGTTGCAACGAAGAAAGCCGAAAGAAGCTCCCGAGACAGGAGAGGGATCCGAGTCAAACTCAACCCGCTGGCGCAGACGTTATGACGAATGGCTGACGAACATTTCCGAGTGTAACCGGTTATTTACGAAGCTACAGATGAAAACAGAGGCACTGTACTCGTCAGCAAAGTAAATGCGAATAAAGCCGAAAGACCAGAGGAAAACAGCGCAAAAGTTATGACGAAGGCTTAACGAAAATTGCCGAATGATCGACGATTACAGACGAAATATCATTCCGAATGAAATGAATAATTGATATGGCGTAAAAGTAGGCCAAGCCTATAAGTCATACCATATAAAATATAATGCATGTCTTGTTGTAAATCACATGTGCTGGTGGCTGGAGCCGGTACTATGATGATGTTTGTTTAACAAAATAATGAGCTAGGTGCTTTTATTTTCTAACAAAATAATGATAGAAATAAACCTTTACCCAGTTTACTATGCTAGATGTTGAACTAAGCAGACAAATAATATCCCAGAATAATATTTTTGAACATGTTAAACAATTATTCCTTGCATTTTTATTTTAAGCGAATCCTCCGGCTCATTATACCTTTTTATAAAAATAAATGAAAACACAAATTCTCGTTGTCCTACGTTTTCTTGGTCTTTCAATGTATGAACATGTATGATATATCATTGGAAAGACAGGTGCCAATTATGATTTAAACTGTGCAACTGAATATGATTAATTCTCATTGTTCATGGGAATAAAATAGTGAACTTTACTGACACTGTTTCACTACGACAGCTTAAGTTGTTTACACTTTTCCTGCTGAGTAACAGAACATGTATGTGGTGGTGCCCAGATTCTACGCAAAGGTTTCAGAAATTAAACCATTCAGACAATTTTAACAAACTAAATATCATTACCTTAAAAATGAGTGTATTCATTATCAAGAGTATGACTAGTAGCAGTAGGGATCCCGGGTGTCAGTAAACATAAAATAAGAACGGCATTACCTTGGTCATGTTAGCGCCGTTTCTTCAAAATTATTGTAAGAATATTTTTCATCATAAAGCGATACTGAACTGATTTTTCGCGGAAGTTTGGAAAGTTAATATCCAGGTATGATAAATAAGTATATTTTTGCAATATTTCTGTTTGTATATTTAGACAAAAGAAGGGTGTAGTAGTCGCTGTGAAATGATACGAATAAAGTTTATTTAGTAAAGTACACAAATGCAGTATGATGTGCTATTGTTTATCATGACAAGAGCAGAAAGTGAGAGAGAGAGAGAGAGAGAGAGAGAGAGACAGAGAGAGAGAACAGTAACAGAGAAACGGAGCGCCAATAACTGCTTCGAATACCTATATGAGAAGGAATTCCTCCTGCCTGCCTCTACCTCCTAAACAACAAACAAACAAACAAACAAACAAACAAACAAACAAAAAAGGAAATCTATATTGCAGACTGGGGTCGAAACAGTTTATTGTGTAATGGATGTGGGAATACTTAACACAAAAATACAACTGTGTATACCTATTTACATCAAATTAACTATCCTTCAGTGTTTCTTAATTATTCAGACCAAAAGTTAGTTTTTAACGAAAAAAGATTCATTGCCCTTTGCTTGTTTTAGATAATGCGGAATTTTACCCCTTTTTTGTAAATCTTTACCAAGGTTATTTTTATGTCTTTGCAGAAGCCTCAATACGTTTGGCATAAATGCAAACATAAGAAACTTGTGCAAATATTTATATGAAACATTATTTTCATTGAATTCTAGTGGTTGCACTTGATATGGTAAAGGTCTACATTCTTTTACATAATGATCCAGCGAAGACTATATCCACGATGCAAGTCGATGCGCTAGTGCCCTTATTAAAGTGTATTTGCACACATTGAAAGAATGAACGGGAAGGGGGGGGGGGGGAGGGCAGGATGCCAATTGCCCATCCGCTATTGTTTTGTACAAATTGTGGACCCTCCAGACACACAAACACCCACACGCTCACTTAAAACCCCACTCCCTCAACCCTCACACACTATGATCGTCAACAGGAGAGAAACTCTGTTAATTACTGTTTGCCCCCATTTATCCCAAACTTTTTGGATTTGAGGGGGCGCAGACATACTTTCACAATATCGTATTGAATAAGAAAGTTGTGACACGCGCCCACAATTCCTATGGGAGGAAACTATTTTAAGCTCCATGAACTGATCTTTGATCGCGTACGTGTGCGCCTGTCAAAATTACCTCTCTCATTATGGCTTCCACCAATATTATTTTGATGGAGACGCCACTGTCACCATGCAGCTTTTTTGTAAACATGAGAACTTAGAAACAGAATTAAAGAGCAGAATTTATCACGTGCCCCATGTCGGCAACCTTTCCTTCGCTACTTTTTTTATGACACCCAGAGGCAGCGGCTCCAGAGTAGGCTATTTTGTAGGGACAAACACTCTAACAAATAAAATAAAAGAAGGGTTAAAAATAAAAGCATCTTACATATTTTTAAGAAGCGTGGTATGGCTCAAAAATTTATTGGGGGAAAGGTCTGTCGATTTGTATCAGGGGGATGTTAAGCATATTATACAAGAGCACCTCCCCTCCCCAGTAACCCTTGGTAACGCCGCCCCTAACGACATCAATCATGACCATGAATGTCAAGGGTTATAATCAACAATCAAGCATCACAACACCCCTCTAATCAACAATGTGGGTGGAAATTGATGTACGTTCGCTTGTCTCGTTCGGTTCAAGTAATTGCTAAGCAGAAAAACTGAAATCCTTCCTGATTTAGAACATAAAAATTAAGGATACCTTTCAATGTCAAATTTCATCAGTTTGTCTAGCTACGATAATTATGGGCGACATAAGTTTGAAGCAAGTCGGGCAAACCCCTAGCTTTCAGAAGTATTTGTAAATAATAATAGTAATGTTATGATTAATGTGAGACGGAGCGGGAGGGAGAGAGATAAATAGTAAGAGATAGATAAAGAGAGATGTGGAGAGGGATATAAAGAAAGGAAAGAAAGGGAGGGAGAAAGAGGGGAGACGGAGAAGGATGGGAAGGATAGAAAGGACTGTGAGAGAGGTGGCCGGAGAGAGAGAAAGAGTATGTGGGAGATGTGGATAGTTGTGTGTGAGTTGGAGTGTGTTGGAGAGAGAGAGGGGAGAGAGAGAGAGAGAGAGAGAGAGAGGGGGAGAGAGACAGGGAGAGAGACACACACAGAAAGAGAGAGAGATAATAGTAAAAGAGGGAGGGGCGGGGGGAGGGGATAAAGAAGATAAAGAGAGGGTGATAACGGAAAGATGGAGAAGAACGAGGGATGAGGGAGGATCTTCAGAAAGGAGGATGGATGTTGGTTAACGCGGAGATGGAGATTATCGCCGGGATGAGTCAACATACAAATATATCGGGCGATACATCTCGATCAGTATTAGTAGAACCCTACTACTTGGCCTACTTCAGCGAATGGGCGATCCAATCTTAAATTTTCCCTCGTGTTTAAATGCTTAACGAGAAAATTCCTCTTGAACAGCTCCATCAAAAGGGGTCGAGAAATCATTGTAACGCATGGCGTCCGCAATCTAGATACATTATTGCTCTTATTAGGCAAGTTGACTCCCAAACGAGGCCCGTAAATACTCATTGTGATTGAAAGGATGTCATTATTGCGCCCCCAGCTCAAGTTGTTTCCAAACAAAATAAAGATTTTCCTCTCGAGAGCACCAGTCTGCTCAGACGAAAAATAGACTGTTACCATGATTACAGGACATCTCTTACGAGTGCTATAGAAAGATAAGTATAATATATGCTCTTTCTCAATGTTCGGGAGTATTAAGACAAGTCTCGGGTCGCCTATAGAATGTTTTGAAGCTGGGGAAATTCCCCGCGTCAGATTTGAGCTTTTTCATGACACACACAATTCAACTTAATTGGCACATCATGACAAAAAATCTTTTGAAATTTCATTTCATTTTTTTCACGTTTTTATTTAATCATGCCTGATTAACAGAATCAATTAATTGACCAAAAAGATTCTGTGATGTTACCGAAATCAATCATATTTGTTATATCGGTCATGACTGCTGCTGGAAATATGAAAACTGATATGAATTAGCCATTTTTCATAAATATCATAGTAGATCTAGACTTGTTCAATGTAGAGGTGACAAGATTGCGAAACCTATTGTTTTCATTGACTTAAATGTGCGCATTTGACACAGAGGCAACTTGAAAGTAATTGAGAGGGCCTGAATCCAAATAGAGACCACAAATACCCCAAATTTAACATAACACATATTGCATAAAATTTAATGGATAAAATAACATAATTCACCTGCAAATTCAAAATTTCATTAGTGCATTTATTTTTCAACCTAGCCATTCGGCCTCGGTATATACTCGGGGATCAGATATTTCGTTATATTTCCTGCAATATTTGTATAAATTGTTTAATGAGCTGGCAGTAAAGTACACAATTTATTATTACGATTTACTATATTGGCAGCAATTGTATTTAAGACAAGGTGCTTTATGAAATAATTAAGCCAGAAATATGCTTTTTACATTATGCCACTTTAGATTTTCAACCTTAAAGCCGATATTAGTTCGCATTTATACTGCAAACAATTATAACCAGTCGATTTGATAATATTTACAGTGAAACCAAGATGTGTTTGGGTCGATGATGCTTCAAGACGCCACGAAAATTGCGATCCCTGAAGACAAAAACGAAGGGATTCAAAGCTGCGTTGCTATATGCGATGATCTCAAACGCGGTTCGCAGATAGAGCATCGTTGATGGAGTGGTCTTCAAGTGAATCTCAAGAAGAAACTTGATGGAAATCGGGAGCCAGCACACAGCGAAGACACACAGTACGAGGAGCGTGGTCTTGGTCGCTTTCATCTGAGGGGTGTGGATTTGGATGGGTTTCCGCCCGCCATGCGCCGCTCGCTCGATGACAGCGATCCGCATCACCTGTCGCCTAGCAACGCGGAAAATGATCCAGTAAATGAGACTGAGGACGAGGAGACAGAGAGGCGGGAGGATGGCTGAAGTGTAGAACATGATGATGTTGTATGCAATCGCAGAGCAATGCGAGATCGTCTGGTCATTTCGGCTGTACAGTGGAACCAGACCAAAAGAGCAAGACATGACCCAGTTAAATGCTATTGTCCCTGCGATCCTCTTCGGTGTCACTACACTGATGTACTTTAGGGGCCTGGTAATGCAGATATACCGGTCAATGGCGATAGCAATCAAATGCATGACAGAGACGCAATGAAGGTAGAAAGCCATCATGAAGAACCACAGGTGCGTTTCTCCTGAGCATGTGCGAACATTCTGGACGACTCTTCCGTAAGCACCCGACGGAAGAGCCACCGTCCCCGTCAACAGATCCGCCACGGCCAAACTAGCAATCAGGTAGTAGGTCGGCTTGTGCAGACGACGCTCTTGATACACCTTGACGATCACGAAAATGTTACCAATCAAGGCCACGAAACCGATGACGAAGTAGAGCAGAGACGATATGACAAGGAAAGCGATGGATGGATCACTGATGTAAAGATCATTTGTAGGAAATGTCGACATGGTGGAGGGAATCGTGGGCGAGCATCTTGAGAGTGTCAAAGCATCAATCTCGTTTCCATTCATGATTGTTTAGAACAGATGTCACCGGAGGAAGATTTGTTTTCAATCAGTCATTGATGTTGCGGCAAGGGGTAGGCTCTACCAATAATTTCTGGCACGGTTTAGTCCGGAGAGATTGTGTACAATCGCTCCCCCGTTAACAAAACGATGCTGCTTTCACTGCCAACGTGGCCAATACAAGAAAAATAATTTTATTCGAAAACAGTGATCGTCATTTTATCAGAAAGGATTGCTAGAATTTGATAGAACTCTAGCATCAATGATGAGTGGTCCTCTTACTCCCTTGCAAAAACAAAGATGATATCGTCTAATGGTTTGAGCATAAGTGCTGTCGAATAAAAAAATCAATTTGTGGAGACTTTTATGAGGAATATACCCCCCCCCCTCCAAGAAAGTGGCAATCATTGTATCAGGTTCCATAGCATTCCCCTATTTCATTTTTATCATATGATGCCCTTTTTTTTCTCAATTTAATTTGTGTTAACATTTCACGACTGAGTAGTTGACTCAAGACGAAAATTGAGAGGAAACAGTAAAATACAAAATATAATTATTACATTAACCGATGCCGCATAAGAAAGGTTATTACATAACTATAAGAGCACAAACAACAAAAAACCCATTTGCCACATTGTTTGAGATTGTCAGCCTCAATTATTAGTTATCTCGCAACTTGAAAGCATTTGCACTTCGTGTGCATTTGCATTCAATTAGATATAATCTAAACGGTCTTCGTCTAGGCATGTTCTGTGACGTTTTACCAATGCAGTATCAGCATCATTAAAGTGATGTTCTTTAAAAAAGATGTGAAAGAGTTTTATATAACAATATAGAAATGCATACACGATACATGATTACTTTCAGTGCATTGTCAACGAAAGAAGTTGCGGTAGAGTATAATATTACAACGAAATATCGCACTCACAATTACGTGCACTCACACCAAACGACTTTTGTACTTCTCAAAAAGAAAGTGATAGGGTCATATTAAAAAGCCTTTGACTTGATATACCTTTAAATACGTTTATTCAATTAATATAATACTTGTTATTAATCGAAATACTTACAAAGCATGCATGTATTGGTCGAACATCTAGAAATTAAAGAGAAATGAAAACGTGAAACGACCAGTGCAACTACGTAAATATATTTGACCCCAATGTTTGTCAAAGTTGTTATGTAACCTAGCTGTTTTTTGCGTATGCAGTATGCTGTCTTTTGGGAAATGATAAAAGTGCATGAGGATTATATATCATTTGTTTAATTGTAACAAGTGTCGTTAAATATCGTCTGAATTTAAAGGTATTACCAATGCGTTTGTGTCTAATAACAATACCTGTACACACTTTAAATGAGCGTAGTTATTTGGTACTTCTCTGCAAATAATTAAAAAGAGGAAAATACAAAATTCAGTTGGCTAACGATAAATTACTTAAATTTACGTGGGAGTATGTGGAAAGGAGCTCCTCATGTAATTAGTGCTTATTTTGGCTCTGGAAATCGATATAGAAACAAGAATCCATAATAGGGTTATTAAATAAAATAGGAATGGTAATACGTGCAAAATGATGCTAATGTAACAAAATGACTTAAAGGGGAAGTCCACCGGTTTTAATCAAAGTAAGAAAGTGAGAGAAACAAATTAGTTAAAATATAAGCAATATCAGCAGGAAATTTATTAATTTTTGAAGTTGTCATCAGTGAAACACGAATTGGCAACACTACGACGTATTTTGCGAGCTTCTCTCCAATTTTCTGTACACAGAAAATTTCATCAACTTTCATTTTCTTCTTCATTGCTCAAACTTTTATTGACCTGTTTCTATAGTTTTTTTTCTTCTATTAAAACCAACTTAATATCAAGGAGAATATTAAGGAGGGCTTCCTTTTTAACGGTGGGAAAAGCAAGCGCGACCAAACTATTTGTGTGTGTATTACAACATAATTCTGAAACTGCCTCTTATCAAGATGATGCTTTAAATCACATTCAATTAATATTTCTATTGCTGCATTGAAACAACGACATCACGTATATGTTTCCATACCGCACAGATTGTAAGGTCAATATAATTATGTTCGTGTTTTACATAGATATTTGTTTAAAACCACAATTAAAAGATAACATTTAAGTTTGTTCCCATCTGATCAATGTCATTGTTTTATTCCTATGGACTTTTCCTTTATTGCTTCGTGGTATATTGCCCTGCTCCTCAATTTATTTAGTCGCTTCGCAATATTTCCTTAATTTTTTTCCTCAATTTCTGTCATAAGGTCTCGTCAACGTATTTGTCTTTTCTTGGAATATCCAAGAAAACATTGTTCGATTGAATGATAAATTGAAAGAGACCAATTTTTCTCCCGTTTCTAATGGTTTGTATTTGGTCTGCGATTTTTTGCCTTCTCCTGGGAAAGCAAAAGACGGGAGCGCAAATTGCGTTTATCACTTAGCCTAGATGTCTTTGTCATTCTGTCGTTTGCATTTCATATCTTCCGTATTTTTTTCTTCTTCTCCCCTTCTGTCCCACAAATATTCTCCGGCCTGAGAATTTCTTTTGCTTCTGCGTCTGTCCTTCATTCCCATTCCTCTTTTCTTTCCAAAATCCTGTTTACTCTTTTAAAAACTGAAAGAAAGAACATTTGAAGTAGAAAATCTGTGGGACTACGATTTCTTGGTAAAAAGTGTTTGCTTACTTTATGCCTGTCCCGTAATGCGTCGTGATACAGAGCTGATAATCTTAAAGAGAAGGTCGAGTTCTGCAAAGATGAAAATTAGTTTGTGACCTTATACTATCATCTAGATCTATTAGGAATAAATCATTATCAAAATCATTCCATGACTCGGGGTAAAAATAATTATTCCACCATTGTGACCAAAAGTGTATATAAGTCAAATTTAAAGAATATCGTATAAGTAGATCATATTACCTGAACGAGTTGCTCTTCAAGTGCCCTCATATTCAAATAGGAAAATAAATAACAAAAAAGCTTGAACTAAACATTTATGCCAAGATGCATTCGTATGACAAGAATTCAAAAACAACTTTATCTTTAAACGATAAGATGAGGTCCATTAGTCTAAATATGACATCTTCCAGATATTACCAAATCGGGGTCAATGCTTTTTTTCCCCCGTAAGACGTACTTAGAGGAATAAATGTATAATCGAAATGGCAGGATATGCGAAATGGGTAATTACTATACCATTTGATTGATATTTCCCCCGAAAAATGACAGCTACCATGTTATTTAGGTCGAACATAAGTCTCACTTTGATGACGAGCTTGCTCTCATTATTAAAGTCTGGTTAGTTTCTTTATACATCATCTGTTCGGAGCCAGAAGAGGTTAAAGCTTAACTTGAGCTCGGGTATACTTTAAATGGGCATCGCATGTCGAGAGAACATGGCTATAATTCATTCTGGATTGTTTATCCTGAAGAAGATTATTTGCTTGAACTAGTAAAATAAAAACAACCTCACAAAAACTTGCTGGAAATCATCTTCAATGAAAACCACGACTCTCATTTGCATATAGTACGAACGTTCGTGCAAGAGCCGCACCACTCGCGGATGAATATCATTCGATCACCAATCTTAGACGTCGTCAAATATTATTAGAGGAAGCGCGCTTGCATGATCTCGTTCAAGTTTGATATATTACAAAATAAAATGTTTAACAGGAACTGTATCCTTTTTTGAGGCAGTCACACACATCTATGATAAGTACTTTCATGTTTCTAGGCATATTCGTTTTACAAAACTACTCCTGTACCTTATCTGATGACAATATATATGTATATGTCCATCAGCCTATTCATACGTGCATGATTTAACCTTGTTTCCCAAGCAGCAAACTCTTCTTAAAACTCTACCAAATGGGAGAATATGAGGATATAAAGAGAAATTACCGACTGGAAAATGTTGCTTCGTTATTCTTTATTCAAATGAAAACAGAAAAGCCATCAAATATACTCATTAACAACAACAAATCTAAGCTCTGACAGGATATCATTTACGTAGGGATATCACTGCCATTCACTCTCACTGAGCCCATGACTCCCGTTCGTGACGTCACGGATAGAGGCCCGACTCTACGTGCACTTCCGGGTTTCAGACTTAGATATTTTGGTAGAGTTTACTCGAATAAATTCATTATTCTAAACTTGTTTTGTCAGGTGGACACCATTTGGTGTTATTATGGGGGTTAAAAGCTTTCTATTTATGTAATTATCTCAGTATTTGGGATTGTCTTAGTGTATCAACTTTAAGCACATGGTGTCGGGCCTACTTACCTCGATTTCCTTATCTTTCTATGCTCCTTACTCAGCTCTATGCCTTTTCTACCAAAATCGTTTGGCACCTGTCATTTATTTATGAACATTCTGTGTAAGTTTTGTTGGATTCCGTGAGAATGTATTTTCTTTCGTTAACAGAATTCAAGCTTATCTTTAAATGATATCATTTGTTATACATAGTTAATGCTTTTCTGGCTACAAACAGACAACATGTTAAAGTTAATCATTAACTCGTTGATTAAACGTTACCAGCAGACTTTATATTCATTTGTTTGCACTGCAGTTCTGTAAAGTAAACACTAATACAGTCTACGCGCGTTTACAGCTCGTTCAAAATCACTGAAAAATCCCCTATGCTTCTTCCACGAACAAAATGGACGCTTTATTGTACATCGTGATAGTAGTGACAATCAAAGAAATGTGATGTTTTGTGTTCTTCTCTCTTGCAAGAAATATCAAGGTCTTCCTATGGCTGGCAATTGTGGATGAAATGTGTTATGCATTGAGCAATGCGTGCTAACGTATAATGCGAATCATACTGACGCCATTTTGACAGTCGAGCAATGTGTACTTTGAAATTTTCAGCGGAGACAATATAAATTTGACCCTTGGAAGGAGTTGGAATGGACATGTTTTTCTCGACTAGACTCTCCATCAACTTCCATTAGTGGATACCAGATATTTGATTGGGGATAGATGGTGCCGTTTTTACGATTGAAATCAGTGAATTTCAACTCTCCTAGCGTGTAGAATTAAAGGACGGTGTTTCGGTGCAAGATATATTTCGATTAGTCCGTACGATGTCAGATAATTCTATGTGCCAATCAAATATCTTTTAAGATATCTTAAACTTAGTGTATGCCTAATGTCTCTCGGTCTTGGTGGTGAAGATTATGCGAAACACAGTACCAGACTGCACACTTGAATCGTACACATACATGTTAAATTATATAGTATGTGAGCAGATCTAATCATACGCTGTAGACATTTGTAGAACATAGGCTTATATTACATGCAGCTATATAATTATATGTATCATGTAGCACATTGGTGGTGAACGGTATGAAATGATAGTTACAACACTGACAAAGATGGATCAGAAGAAAGCATGGGTTATGGTCATTGTGCTGGCAGGATGCGTCCTAACCCTCCTGCTTCGAAAGAGTGCCAACGTGGTGGAGAACGGACCAATGCTTGTCCATCTTGACATGCCAGACGATCTTGCCAACATGTTTGGAGACACCCGGTTACTCGAAGACCCTGACACTGTACAGAGCTTGGCAACACCAGAAGCTAATGCAGCCGAGGATGATCCATTTAGATATACTGGCAAATCAAGCGTAGCGGATTTGATGTTGAAGAGTTTGCATGGATCATCGGTACTGACGGCCCTACAGAACTCTGATTCTGATGGGGACAACGGTACAGTCTATGACGAAAGTTCTATTGCTGATATTTGGAGAGAGGAAGATATGGACAATGGAACGTGGAAGATATTCGAGGAGGAGTACAAGAAAATTGATTGGAGGCAGAACAAGGATGGGTTCAACCGATGGAGGTGATAATCACGACGTGAATTATTATAATTATGTAGTTTATGAGAATATATTAATTCGTTTGTTGAGGTTACAAGACTCATAACCCGTCCGCTATTGTTCAAAGGTCAAGCAAGTGTTATAAACAGTTTAAGCATGTTATAGCCTCTGTATCTGATTCTTTTGTAGATCATTGCGATTTGAAAGAGGGGGCCTAATTTGGCCAATCAAGCTTACATGTATACGTGCAGATTTTAATTTATTTCAGCTTTGCAAAACTTTATTGACCAGCAAAATGTTGTGTGTACCTTTTACCACTTTCTAATTAACCTTTCTATAAGACCTAGTATTGGGGTTTGCTACATACCTCATACTTTTGTCAATATACGAATATGCTGTAAGAGATGGGTTAATCATTCGCTTTACTTTCATGGAAACAGGGCGGAGCTGGTGACGTATGGTGTGGACTCACGCAATAGTTTCTTGGTTACTCATGATTCCGTAGAGGTCAAACGAGTTCTTCCGTTCTACATCAGTACTCAACATTCTTATACCGTCAGTGAATACTTCATGTCTCTTATTCCAGAGGTATGTTTGCTGCAGAAGATACAAAACCTCTTTATATCCCTTAAAATATGTCATATCATGGTAACGATTTTGCTAGATATAGGGTCGGCATATGTAATTAATCAATGCCCTCAATGGCACTACAGACATCATTCATTATATTTATCAATAAAGGTGATAGTGAAAATTAATTCACAAGATACTTATAGACAACATCGACAGCATTTGAACGTGTGTGCGTATGTGTGTGCCTGGGTGTGTATTTGATATTATATAACATTTTAATTCGGTACACAAATAGTAAGAATATGTCCACTTTGAATATCAAATGTTTGTAAATGTGATCTCTCTGACATATTTCTGCTCCTGTTTTTCTTATCCCAGTCATCCCCTTACAGCGGGAAGAGCTTAGGGAGGTGTGTAGTGATGGGGAACAGTGGTAACCTCAGGAATAGTGGATGCGGGAAAGAAATAGATGCAGCCGATTACGTATTCAGGTATGTTATTTTGTTAATTAATAAAGGAGAAGTCAACCCTGACATCAAGTAGGTTTTAATAGAAGCGGGAAATGAGAGGAACAGGTCAGTGAAAGTTGGAGCAAATTCCAATTAAAAATAAGAAAGTTATGAATTTTGGAAGTTGCGATCAATCAAACACAAATTGGCATCTCTCTGATTTATCTTGCGAGCTCCCTTTCTATTCATTTGCTCTGTACTAAATAAATCAGAACTTTTTATTTTCCCTCAAGAAAATGTTCAATGATACACACACCCTAAACACAATTATTGCAAATATGTTTCTTTTCGACCCCCTATATGGAAAAAAATCTATTCCGTTATCAATAATGAATAAATTGAATGTTTATGAAACATTATGTACAGGGCAAATTAGGGTGGACTCCCCTTTTAAAAATGGTGTCAGTCCTGTATATCAATGCCCCACAATGGTTTCCAAAAGAGGCCACTGTATACAGGTTGTCTTTACAGAAATAAAGAAGTGGCCACTGAAATTTGATCGACAAAACATGGTCTGTAAAATTAATACAACCCACAACTTTATCTCCGTTTTTGTCAGGTTTGCAATTATCATTATTCTAATTTTAAAGCGGATGGGATTACGAAATACCTATTGTTCAGGGGGGATGAATGAATAGATCATCTCCCCTGAACAATAGGTATCAATTACAGATCGACACCCATGATTGTGGCTACAACAAAAGGAAGTAAGACATTTGTTTACTCACATTATCTTATTTGAAAATTAATAATTCGTTTATGACTATCATTCCTCTCAATGATATTTACTATATTTCAAGACATCTAGAGCAAAGCCTATTTAAATTTTCTGATAACCCCTTTCTCCCCCTCTCTCTCTCTCTCTCTCTTTCACATACACACACACACACTCTCTCTCTCTCTCTCTCTCTCTCAGGTGCAACATCCCTCCTCTTCGTGATTTCGAGAATGACGTCGGGTTGAAGACGAATCTAACAACAATGAACCCGAGCATGCTCGACACTAAGTATGTTCATTCCCCCTAAGTTACTACATGGTTCAATTACTTGATTCCATGGGCAGTACCAGATTATTGTGGGGGGGGGGGGGCATAGATACCTGTTCTGAAAAGGTGCTGACACTAAGAGAAGAAAAAAGACCGAATGAGTTGATCAAGATTCCAAGGGGGAGCAATTAAGTCTCAAACTTTATGACACGCAAAAGAAAAAGGAAAGGAACAAAAAAAATTGGGGGGGGGGGGGGGGTTGATCTTTTATGTCCCTTTTACACAACACGTGCTCATTTTTTGTTCTTTTTGTTGGCATGGTAGATGGGTATTCAAAAGAAATAGTTTAACAAATCATTTCAAAATGATAAAACTGATTATTCTGTGAAAATAAGATAATCAATACGTAATTGTATTTTCTACTCCCTTTCTCTTACAGGGAATACGGGACCATCGCCATTACCCGAGATATCGACTACCCGTACAACCTAGTCCTAGCGCCTTACAACGGTGTCATCCTACTTCCTTGCTTTAGCCATTTCTTCTACCTGCGCAAGTGCATTAAAGCCATCAAACAGTACTACCAGAAGAACGCGAACATGACATTCCTTCATCCTGAGAACTTCATGGCTATATGGGAATACTGGAAGGATCGGCAAATGACCAACCTACCTTCAACAGGTGTGTAATTTTGAGAACACCTGCACTAATGATCAAGATTTGGTCCAACTACCCACACAGGGTATCCACAGCAACGTACTGCTCTCCCTGCGGACCCTACAATTTTACTTACCCCCAACATTGCCAAGTACCCATTTGATATACCTGGGTCGAGAGGGACAACTGCGGGTAAAACATCTTGTCCTAGGATGTAAGCACCGAGCGGTGATCAAACCCAGGACTTCTCATAATGAGAGTCAAGAGCCTTCGCCAATATGCTCTATTGTTCGTTACTTTCAAAGAATCAGTTCCAATTCACGCCCCAATCATTAAAAAAGCTCTTTAATCGGGAAATTATGTGTACTGTTCATTTTCTGATACTTAGTGGCGTATTAAGACTTGATATGAGGGGGGGGGGGGTAAATTCTTCCCAGATTGGGTCCAGAAGGAGAGGCAAAATGGACCCGGCGTGTCGAAGGTGATAAAGGTGGAAGTATAATGTTACATGACTTGTGTACATTTAAAATAAAATTGCTTAGCTTTTAGTGTTTCGCAAAAAATAACATGCCTGTAGGCCAATACATTTTGTGTTTGTGTGCTTGTTACTTTGAACTAAATATAATGCTTTATATTTTAGATTCTTTATTGTGATTGGGAAAAAACGAATTTCAACACCTTGATTCCAATGCAGGATTTTACATCATAAACGTTGCGGCCACACTCTGCGACAGCGTCGATGTGTATGGATTCTGGCCTTTCGATAAGACTGCTTTGCGATCAGGTCAACCCGAACATGTGATGTATCATTATTACGAGGAAGGAACATGGCGTCCCGTTCACGACATGACTGGAGAATTCAGACAGCTTTTTCAGCTGCATCGAGATGGAGTTCTGCGAATGCACCTAGGAAATTGCACCTCAAGATGACGAATAACATCAAATAAAATTGGACTTTGGTTTTCCTGATGTGAAGAGGCAGATCTGAAGACATTTACCACATATCGTGCCTTAGGTCTTTTATGCATGATTGCAAAAACGGATGTGACACAAAATGGTGTCACTTACTAATTGTCTGATTGTCGGAATTTCTTTCTCAGGCACCTTGACACCTACCGAATTATTGGCGGTTTTGTCACCATCACGACTCTTTGTGTATCATTTTAAGATCTTATGTTCTCTCGAAATCGGATGGTTTGTGTGTAAATATGTAATTAATCTTGAACATTTTGTTTAAAGTGGGGTTCTAGTATTCCATAATTATAATACCAACATGCTCAACTATATATAAAAGTATTCCATGGACTTTGTTTTTGAACAAATAATGACTTTGACTGTATTCCGTAAAATTCAGATAAAGTCACCGACGAGTATTTTCCTATGTTTCTCTTTCAATGAACATCTCGTATATACCATAATTGTATCAATTTTAGATCATTATGTTAAAACTTTGCTTGTTTTAAAGCGGGGTTCTAGCCTCCCAAATAATATCAACATGCTGAACTACAGTTTAAAGGTGATACATGGACTTTGTTTTCGAACAAGTTATGAATTTGACTGTATTCCGTAAAATTCAGATAAAGTCACCGAAGAGTATTTTCAGATGTTTCTCTTTCAATAAAAATCTTGTGTATACGATAATTATATAAATTGCAGAGTACTATTTGAAACATTTGCTTGTTGGCATGTCAAAGCAATCTGAATCTGTGCAGTTTCAGGGTCTTACCCGGAGACCGACAGCCTACGAGACCAACATTGACAGAATGCTCACCAGATCTATACAAAGACATCAGAAAATAAAGAAAGGAATATAATTTTTAAAGGTCCACGAGACCGACAGCCAATAACACCGATACAAAATGAGATAAGGGACGGTGGAAAGATGTCGATTTTGAGGGCGTTGGTGTCATGGGACTTTGGTGTAATGAGAGCTCAAAAGTAATTATGTCGGAAGGCGTACGAGACCTACATTGTCGATCTAGTGGGCTGTTGGTCTATATAGGCTGTAGCCGCGATTTTCATTTTCATTTTTGGGGTTCGATTTACAGAATGTATGATTAGTAAAATTCACATGTACAAGTATATCACACGATACGAACGGTAAACAAATTATTTCGATTAAATCAAGACTTTATTTGTTTTTACTTTGATGATACAATGTCAAGTGTATTTGTGCATAGAGCCACTCGATTTGAAAACACAACTTTACCACCTCAAAAGCGGATGCATTGGTATATTTTACAGCTAGTAAAACATATTCTTGAATACTCAAGTCTCAAGTAAATTTGAAGTTATCCCTCGACATTCAACTGTGTAATCGTGATAATAACATTGTTGCAGAGGTTACAGTTGATATATTCCAGAGATTGCACACACATATTTATCATTGACACCTAATCACATTATCTTCCACTCCAATGGAAATATTCTTCTCATTCTTTTTATCTCCTTGTTTTGTGATACATTTCTGACACAATAACACCTATTTTCGTGTGATATTTTTCATTGGATTTAATTATATCTGCTGAAGCTCAACGGAAATATATTACAGGTGATTTCTTATTTACGGAACCAGCTTTGATTCGTTTGAAACTAAAATCTGGCATTTGTTTTAGGCAATCTTTAAGGGATAAACATTAAAACTCACAAGATATCATAGAGTAATAGAAAAGGAAAGAAAAACAAAGAACAAAAGAATTTGAATGTAACAAAAGTGATTCCTCATATACGGCACAACCAATTTGCAATATGTTTCCACAAGGTCTTAAAGGGATAGGCAATTTTTGTGTTTATACAGAGCTAACAGCACGAATGGCATCATAAAGATATAGAATGAAGTAAATTTCTTCGTGATTATGATGATAATTAATTCCCTCTGGCCTTTTTTTATCATTCCCGATACAATGGCAGATAAATGGTTTAAAGGTGAAAGGGGTCAATTTCTAATACAAAATAAAAAACATAGATTCTACTGAATCTATTCGGGAATTTTAATCTATTAGGTCATCAATCATTGAGATTCATGCCGGGATTCATGTAAGATTTAGTGTAAACCAACTTGATAGATATATGAAAAAGATAGGATGTGTCCCACGTGTAATTTTCCTAGGGATTCAATGCTTCATTCCAATCGATATCTTGTTAAAAACGTAAAAACTGTTAACCATTCGAAGAATTTAATATCTTTATACAGAGTCGACTTTGCTTGGGGGCTGAAATAATAAATACATATTGCAACTATATAAAAACGAAAGCAAAATAATTTAATCATGTTTATGTCATGAAGATAATTGAGAAACAAGGATCTAATGCATTATTAATGCAGATAATGCATACACTGTATTCGTGATCCACATTTTATAAATCCCCTTGGATCAATTAGTGATAGATACCATGGTAACCGTATCATACCTAACATCAGTCGGACGAAATCGACTCAGATGTTTGCATTAGCATTTCACCTCATGCCTAGTAATCTGAATCATACTCGTATAAAACTCTGGAACTGAATAATGCAATTTACAGGTATCAACGCAAAGTTTTAAAATATATCATTATTTATGTTATGGGTAATAGATATTGACAGAGAAATATGTTTATTTTCTCTTGCCAAATTACCGTCTAAATTGTACAAAACGATCTGGTTTTCGTCTCTGTATATCCTGCAAGTTTACTTGATTCATATATACATCCTCGTTTTACATCCTTAAACATGTAAGAGTTAAGACTCACAATCATGCGCGAGATTAATGCAAGTTTGTTGCAGAAGAACAGTATTACGAATTCAAGATATAACAAAGTAAGGCAGTTTTCTTCGTAGTTAAACCGATGTATGCAAGTATTAATATGTGAAACAGTCTAAGTAAAATAATTTGTATATTGAAACAAAAAATCATCGTGAGTTTTGTTTTTGAATTTTCATTATTATTTCATTAAAAAAAACACGATCGAACAGACGTCAAAATGTCAACCTCAGGCAATTTCAGTAGCCTTGTGCATCATGTTTTGAAATGGGCGAATATTACAATGACTTTATTATTAATGCAATACGAACATGATATAAACTACAATAGGGTATTGAAATTGCTCCTGAGTTGACCTTTCGAAAGTCTTTGAAAGATCGTGTTAAAGTCATCAGCTTAATGAAGCTTGAATTCAGATTCTTTGAAACGGGAATTAAATTCAAAGGAATACCAAAAACTTGGCATGACTGGCAAACACGAGCCTTTTAAGAACAAAGGTGGTCTCCTGACATATTCACTTATTTCCCTGCGTTAGTGACCGTGCATAATTATTAAAACAAAGGAATGCATCCCACTTCTCACCACTTAGTTCATACCACTTAAAAACTGAAGAATTGGAACCACGTAATTGGCAAGATCAGTGGCTGTACGTGAGCGATTTTTTTTATAAGACTACTTATCCCATCATCCTCTTTATCACTATTCCTAGTATAAAGGAGGCCCTCTTTTCCTGGGCAATGAACCATATTTCTAGAACACAATATTCATCAAAGGGGCTTTCCCTCAAATTTTGTGATTCCAGTTGACCCTACAGAAAATTGATTTCATTTTTCAAAGGAACTTAGACCTAAACACTTTGATTAATTGGCAGTCGCCATCTTAAATGTACACCCACGTCCAAGTAAAGTAAATTTCGTGTTCGCGGAAAACTGTGTCTTTTCAAGTAAAGTGTAGACCTGACCACTTTCATTCATCTGGAGACGGATGACATCAATGTGAACATTCTACCTATGTAATATAGATTGGTTAACTACATGGTCATGTTGGTGGAAAAGTGCATAATCTTAAAAGATAATGCATGTAGACCTTATCACTTTGATTAACCCAAAGACGTCATTTTCAGTGTATACATCATTTCCAACTGAAGTAATACAACATAGGAAAGCTATCTACATGATCATGTTCATCGTCTTTGTGGGATGGGGGGGGGGGGGGAGGGGGAGTAGGTGGCATCACTTTAACATTCTGAATGGGATGCCGCACGAAATTTTCTGATTAGAGTTTAAGAGACCCTCACATTTGCTAAAGATATTTACCAAAAGACAAAATAATGTCTTAGATTTTCACATTCGACGAGGGCATAATTGACTTCCTCGCTTTTTTTTAATTTACCGGCAAGGGTACTTTTTTATAAATTCAAAAGAGAAACAGTAGACATGTGCCTAAGATTTTGAAATAGTTTGCCCAATAGGCTTGTTTATTAAAGTTAACTGTTATGGATACCAATATATGCTACCAATAACTCTGCCTTCATAAAGAAGTAATTGGTGATCACCACGACACCGTGATAAATAAAGTGCACATAAAGGTTTAGTGAAATTTAATACACGAAGATAAATAAGTGCAGCACATTGACCATGTTTAATGCATGATAATATACAATAACAAATTGACTATAGACGAAGCCATTACTTACATGGCAATAAATACCCGGTATTTATTGTCCTGGTGCATCTTTTTACATCAATAGAATAACAAGATTAGATGAGTTTATATGAAATATGATTCTGGTATTCATGAACATAAAAAGGGTAAGCGAATCATGTAAATTACTAGCATGGATCATAAACGGTGAGACCGAATTTGAAATTAGATTTCCATTGAACAGAACTGGAAAAAACATACGTGCAATTCTTTCTGGTATTCCGGAATGATTTATAGACTCTCATCAATCATTATGGTATGAACAAACAGACGTTATCCTCTGTACACCTCCTAATCTCATAGAATTCTGAGTTTCCGATTAAAAGGAGGGTTCGATTGAACAATGATAATAACAATAATAATGATAATAATAACGATAATTATAATAATGATAATGTTCTGAGTTTATATAAACCTTAATAAATCACAACTTAAATAACACAGAATATATTATTACCCCTGTCATCGGATTTAGAATTGAACGCATACAATTTATGAACATTATCCACTCACTGAAGAGTATACCCGCCAGCCGCCATTTTACAGAAGCTGACAATAAGTTTCTCATCCTGCCGGGTATACA